TGAATGATGTGAGAAAATAAATTTAAGTTTGTCCAGAAAAGGTGTGTCAAGCCAACGTTTTTTTGTCGTTCATGGTTTTTATATGTCTGAAAATACTCTTATAACCCCTAATTTAAGTCACTTATAAGGCAGTTGAAACTTCACACATGTTAATTTACTTTTTTTGGGGGTCCGCTTTCACGGCTTCAGAAACTTTAAGCTTGTGTAAAAACCAAGTGCGAAATTTAATGGCCCGCATTTCGTAAATGCACCTCAATTGAATGCATCGGGGCTTAGAACTTCGGCTTAAAAGGGGGTTTGGTTTTGCTGAGAGCCCTGTAATTGGTGCCCTCTGGATGATAGCTGATTATGCCTGTACTCCGATGCAAATGACTTTAGCAGGTTGTAAATACCGCCAACAAGGAAGGCTTAAGCTTATTAGCCCTTTACCTCTGTCAGCTGCAGCTGCCGCGTGTTTAGGGCCACTCTAAAGGGTCCAGAGGCCAGTCGTCGAACTTCGACTACACTAATTTTCTGCTCGTAAAAACCACTTTAATTGCGAAAAAAGAAAACCATATTTTTATTGTTCGTGCTGCAAAAAAAAGTATTTTGTGGTCTGTTCCCGGCTAGATTCTGGCCATATAATTAAGCTCCATTCCGGGCGAATGTAATCCCGACTTGGCGTAGTCCGCCAGCCAGCCCGATCCATCGCGAACAAAGTCCGGCGAAGAGTATTAAAAGTAATGCCAACATATTAACTGGAAATCTCGTAAATTATCCAACCAAATGACCTGTCAAAGCTGCCAAGCGCTGCTCCCGAGCGCATTTCTCAAATATGAGAAATAATAAAAATGCAAACTACGCTCTCCGGCTGGAAGCCGGCAAATGCGAGTGTGCGGGCCATTTGAAACGAAATCGAAAACAAAATCGGGCAGAATGTATGGGCCCACAATATATATTCCTACCAAAAATACATTTTACAACTTTATTTTACGAGCGCAGCAAAGTTTTTGTTTTTTGCCGGGGGTTTTTCAGCCGAATTGGCGGCACTAAATGTTTTAGACAGACAACTGAGAGATGGTCTTTGGGTCTGCGGACTTTGGGCCTGGCCAGGAGCGCTGCCTGTCTTAAGAGCCCGAAATTAGCACAGGCCATTAAATTAATTAACTGAAGTCGAAGTTTATCGATTGCCGGTCATGGTTACCTTGACTTTGTGGGCTCGCCACCAGGGTCTGATTCTTATCGAGTCTCAAGCCTTTCGAATTTTACGTCCTTCCATTTTTATATTTATATTAAAAGTTAAGAAGTTATTCAACATTTTAATGCCATGACTGTTTTTATGTCCTGAGCTTGTTTAAATTATGTATGCCTCAGGTTATATGTATATTCATGTATCTTTTATGCGATTTGGTATCAACATAAAGTGTGTTTTGCAATCACTTATTTTTTAATTTTCAGAATTTAATATTTGCAGCCAGGGAAGGGTTTTTAACATTAACAGTTAACGGTTGTATCCTTTGCTTCTATTATAAAAGATATTTAATTTAATTCTCGTGATAGTAATAAACGATATATGTAAGGTCTACTGACCTTAATAATAATATTGAAGTTTAAGATACATAATTTAGTTGAGATATACATATATAATCCTGACTTACAATATTATCTTTTTTCCTTTAAAGACACCTCCCAATCTAAAACCTCTTGTAGCTTGCAGTCTAATGGCAGTTTAAATCAATGACTGGTTTAACCAGATATTTAAAATGCACTAATCGAATTAAAGTGACCTTAACCTGGTGTTTTTTAAATTATCTTGAATGTAGAAAAACCTCAAGCGAAAAATGGCCGGCAGACACTAGAGCAATATATTGTTCTACCATATTGGCACTCAACCATTATCGGTGGGTTATGATACCCATCAGAATTAATGACAAAATGATACCCCTGGTGCTGGAACAAGTGCTGCAAGAACCGGGCATCCAGGACAGAGTGCCAAGTGTGTAACCTCGCGTCTGGAGGTGACTAGCGGCCCGCATGACTAATTCCGGAGTCGGACAGCGCCAGTGTGGGCAGCACCATCGGACCAAACTAATGAGCAGTCCGACTCGTTTTGGGGGGACTAGGAAAATCTGCAACAAAGTTGCCAGCGAGAAAACTCGATCTCGGTTCCTGTTTGAAGACGGGTTAGTTAACTCCCGGCCGGCGATCGAGATTACGAATAAGTTTACACGTTTGTAGACATCGGGGCCACAACCTGGCTACTGGAGACACAGACTGGAGGAGCTTCAAGATCTGGAAGAGCCTGAAGAGCTGGAGCGGTGTTCATATGATTGACGAACTGCCTGCAGTTGACAGTATCGACATCGGTTGTATTGTCTGCACTTATGCTAAACGATCGCCGTAATGCCGATCCATGTCTGGCTGCCATTACGGGCTGATAATATGCATAAAGCAGTCATCGGCGAGTGGAAAATGCAACTGTGAATAAGTTTCATGCCTGCTTAGCAGTTTGATGGATGGTCTTGTTGGATTGGCCCGACAGCTCCGCTTGTAATTGTCCGAAGATTATGCTGCATTTGTATGCCGCGTTGTGTGCCGATATGCAATTAGGGGAACGTGGTCAGCCGAGCGTTGGATGGTCCTCATATCACCTGAATCGACGGATTCGGATTAGGGTTCGGAATCCACACCCCCAGACGGAATTTAGCCGCTAATGAGCTTTTATACCAGTGACTCCATTCTTGGTTCTTGGGAACAACGATCATAAATGCTAGTCCGAAGGAATCAACGGATAAAGTAATAGCTTGCTTAATAAAGGGAATTATTCATAAGCGGTCGTTTTTCTTCATTTATCCGTGTCTACAAGATTAAATGGCATAGACAGGGGTATTATATTTCACTAGCACTGAGGGTGTAGCTACCTCAATGTTCCCAAATGAAGACATGTTAGTCCTTAGTCATGCTAAGTTCTTATGCAAACTATATTTCAAGATTAAATGATTCAAATTCGTATTTTTTTAAAGTTTTAGCTTGAATTTGTAAACTGTTCCATCTTAAAATACTCTTTAATTTATGCTGTCTTTACTTATCTGCTTAAGAGTATCGCGAATATGAACAATGAAGTAAATGGCATGTTTCCCACACATAAATAAGGCTTAACTGCTTTAGGATCAGCCGATCAAATCACTTAATAAAGAAAAGGCGGCACTGGTGCCTTCAGGTGTCAACTGCTGACAGCTTGGTTTACCCATGTTAATTGATTATTTCATGCACCGTCACCGACGGCACAATGCCTGTCCTGCCAAGCATTTCCAAGTCGGATCATGTAGTTCTGAGACTCACGACTCTGTATTTTGAGGACTGTAGGTGAACTGTTTAGAAGAATTTTTTTTTGCCTCCCAAATTAAGCGTATTAGTTATGTTTATCTGCGAAAACAAACTTCGACAAATTAATTTACCCTCGATTGGTAGGAATATTTAATTTCCTTTTATCCCAACTAAAAATTCTTATGTTTCTGAATGCATCTTTTAAATGATTGTTGTACTACCTTAAAATATGTACATATGTATGTATAACTATTAAAAAATTTTAAAAATAACTATTGTATAATCCAAATATTTTTAAAGTATTCTTGTACGCATTTACTTGAAGTTATTTCAATTTGGTAGGATTAAATCGTTGAATATATTCACCATGGGTATCGATTAGTCGAAAGCGTTCGCATTAGCATTCCTGCTCGCATCTTTTGGTATTTACTAGTCTGGGCCCCGAGAACAACAACAACTTGATTAGGCCTTCTGTCGGAGGCGTCTCTGCCCCAGATGCCCACAGTACGTGCCGCGTCGCCGCGTGGCTTCATGGATCTGTCCTCGTTGCTCCCAGCGGCGGCATTTGCGGCCTATAATTAGGTGGCAATCATTTAGAGGCGCGAGATGCACGGCCACTCCTTGCCAGACTCCTCTGTGTGGATAGGCCCAGGATGGAAATGCTGTGCAATTTTCTTTGTGCTTTTCATTTCGTTTTCAATTTTCCCTCTGCACTTTACTAAATGAGCCATAAATATGCCTAGATACTTGCTAAGATCACAGATTAGGCGGGTTTCACGATTCATCATACAATCTTTAGACCCATGCTAGAGAGTGACTTTACATGACAGAAACAACTACAGACAACATGACCCTAACTAATTATAATGGACCACAGCAAGATTACTCACAGTCGGGACTTTGCTAAAGCGAACACCTAATATCATTAAATATACTTAAATTGATTTTAATACGTTGTAATTTATTTTGAGTAGCGTTCCTTTTAATACTCATAGCATATATGCTTGCTGAATGAATAAGTTGTTTACCGTTTTATTATATTACTTCAATCACGCACATAAAATAAGTAATTAATTATTTATAAGCATAAAAATCTCCGTAACTGCTAAAACTTGTTTATGTTCCGGAGCAGATAGAACAAACCTATAATTACATTTTTTTAAATTAACAAACTCCAAAGAGAATAATAAACTTTTAAGGGTATAATTTAGAAAATTACCTATAAATTTTACTGTTTGATCTGGTGAAAAACAACAATAAGTATTATAAATAATAAAATAAACAGACTGTTCCCTTCACCCAGCTTAAAATTTTTAAATTAAATAATAATTACATTAAAAAGCTAATGTAGTCGATGGTAATATGATTGGATCGCCGTTCACCTTATGGTAAATTAGTATACCACCTTTGACCTTCTGAAGCCCCATCAAAGGACTGAAGGATCCTGAGGAACTCAAATTTTCAAATTAGGATTCAAACGGAGTATATAAACATGAATAGGAATGCTGGACAAGGAACTAAGTTAAGTTCTGATAAATTTATGTACCACCCCACCCTATCAGTATAAATATAAATACCATCAAAATTATTATTTTCTGGATTCATAATGGCTTGGTTTCATATTCAATTCGAAAACCCCTTGCTAGAATTAAATTTAGAATTTTTCTATGTAGATGTATTTAAAATGCACTCACCCAAGGGCACATTGGCGCCATTCTTGCGATTGACGGAAACTGAGATCGGCAAAATGGCGGCGCCGGAAGTGGACGATGGCGAGGGCGAGGACGAGTCGCAGGAGCCCTCCAGCGATTGGGCGGGCGTTGGCACCGTGCTCATGTGATGGTCGGCACTGGTGATCACCGAGGTGCCCGAGGACCTTCCTCCTGCAGCTCCGCCGCCCGAGCTGGCTCCACCACCTCCTCCTCCTCCACCTCCACCTCCTCCCCCTCCATTGCTATTGCTGGAGCCGTTGCTCGAGGTGGCCGGTGCGGCGTTACTGGAACTGGCCGCTCCTCCGCCGGAGCTGCTGCTGGCCGGACCCACACTTCCGCCATGCTCGCTGTGCGGCGGCGATCGCAGCGTGGTGTGCTGCGGGGGCGCCTGCTGATGCGGATGTGGGTGGTGGTGCTGGTGGTGGTGGTGGTTGTGCGAGTGTGGGTGGCTCTGGTGCTGGTGCTGGGCCACCGAGGCGGCTGCGGCGGCCGCCATGTGGACGTGGTGCGCATGGGCATGGCCATGGAGGCTGGAGGCGGCCGTGGAGGAGCCCCCAAGATGGGAGGCCGGAGCCGACGGAGCTGCTGCTGCGGCTGCTGCTGCCGCGGCGGCCTGCTGGTGGTGCAGGACATGTCCGTGATGCGAGTGGTGGCCGTGGGCGTGATGGGCATGCACATGGTGGGCGTGGACGTGGGGGGGAGCAGCGGCATGATGGTGGTGGCCCAGCAGGGTTGTGGTGGCCGTTCCCGCAGGCGGCACCTCGTGCATGTGCAGCGCCCGCTGCTCGTCCTGCGCCTGGGCTCGTCTCAGGGCTGTTTGCAGGGCCATCACCCGCTGGCGATCCGCCGTCAGGCGGCACTTCTCGCAAGTGCAGTAGCGGAACTTGCAGTACCGCTTGTGTCCCTTCAGGGTGATCTTCAGGCCGTGGTTGCGGCAGCGGGCGCAGTTGGGCGGCGTCCTGGGCGAAATGGAACTCCCGCTGGAGCTGGAGGCCCCCCCGCACACGTCGTTCTTCGAGTCGATCATGTCCGAGTCGGACATCGTGTCGCTGTTCCAGTTCTCCTCCGAAACCATGTCTGCAGCTTCTGGTATCCTTGATAAAAGTTCGAGTGTCTTAGTTAACTTTCCCGTGCTTTAAGCTAATTGAAAAAGCATTTTCTGCAAACGATTACTGGGTTTTTCTGGTTGAATCACTGAGATTGTTAGTTATTTAACATTCAAGAGTGTATATTAATAAAACTTGTCTTATGTGGGAACTTTAAGTATTAACGTTGCGATTAAATCTGGATTTGATTATGGATAAGTTTCGGTATTTATGTTTATGTAGATATTTGTCTGTAGATTACTGAGAAATATAAGACTTTAGGTTTCACTTTTCTGTATTTGCTGGTTTACTTTGAATTTTTAAGCCCCTGAAATGAGAAGAAAATTACATTTGTTATAAAATGGATTGAAGAAATGTGGGAACCAAGCTAAATAGCAAATAATACAATTTCGAAGATCCGGCCTATTTTTGTACAAGTGCACTCTACACTCAGCTAATGAAATTCCAATGCATTCATCTACTTCAAACACCAGGCACAAATATTTATTTACGATTTGCAAATTGTGTTTTTCCTTTGTATGCTTGACTAGCGGTAGCAAACAATTTACATTTGTATTGTAAACGCCAGAAAATGTTTGCAATATTTTTGCATACACCTCACTCCGAAATAAAAGTTTAATGAGATCAGGCGGCGAAACTTTATTTCGATTGGCCGTGGAATATTGCATGTCATAAGGCAATAAAGTAAAAATAAAAATTTTGATACGATCAGCCACGCCCCATTTACATAAAAACTCGGAGGTTAGATTTTTATTGGATATTAGAAACAACTCGAAGGCGGAGTCGGATATGTAGACAGTATCTACTAGATACATTGTATTGATAGAAGTAATGAATTTGTCACAGCGTCATATAATACTGTCTCAGACAGATATAATGGGTGCGCAAAAAGCTAATGGGAGAGAGTGGTATAGAATTATGGCTGGCTTTTGACTCTTTAACCTGTCCAGCTATACTTTTTACAAAGTCTTTTTTACTAGATGCATTTACGTAACTCGGTTAATAATGTATTAAAGTAATATACATTTTTAATGGGAAAGATTTTCCTGGCAGACATATGATAACAAAAACTACCTTTTTCCTAATACAATTTTTGATCATATTCATAAACTTAATTAAAATTTGACTTCTTTCAAGAATGATACGAGTTCTGTCAAATATAAAAAAATATTCTTTAAAAGGCGATTCTTTCCTTGTCAGTTTTTGTTTTTACACAACATGTTCAAATTTTTTTTACGCCAAACTATTTTTTATCCTTCGCAAAAAAAAACTTTTGAACCTTAAAGAATTTAAAAAATTTAAAAAATTCTTTACGGTCCTGATAGGTATGCGAATTGAATAAACTTCAATTTATAATTACATATTAAGTTTTTGAATATTTGTTTCCTTGAACTATTTTGAATTATAAGTAAGTTATAAGACTTTCAAATAATCAATTTACCTGTTTAGCGTATATGTATGTTGAAAGACTTTATATTTTATTTTAAAAATACTTTTAGTAATATTCGAAAATACGATATTATATTTTCAAACGATTTTTTTTATAAAGTTAACTTTATTTATTTTTAGGGTTTATTGATTGTGGTTAGAAATATGGTGTATTTGCCGGATTACTTTTGATGATATAGTAGAATAAAGGGTAGGTTTAGCTCTTGGAGAATTTTGCACATAGCACTTGATTTACACAATTCCAATTATACAGTCACTCCAGCTGTATGTATTTAAATATCAATGAATAGTCGTCACACAACAAACAAAAAATCACACTTTAAGTGTTGCACGATCGCGGTCGCCCTGCAAAAAGCCGCCGGTGAAACGCGCGACTGAAGAAACCGACTGCGTCCAGTCGAACGATTAAGTCGGCAACGATAGGCAACGTGCAAAAATCAATATTTATAGGGCTGCTTAGATCTGGTATTTAGGCGTACAACTTCTCAAAAACGTTCCGCGAGTCGCGAGCCGAGCTTTTGCTGCTGCTGCTGCTGACCGATCTGAAATCTTTGGCATGCACAAGGCAACTCACATTGGGCCGCAAGACGCGGATGCAAAGAACTCAAAAGCGCCGAGCACAGCGGTCGGCGAATGCGCCTGTATTGGTGCCGGCCCGCGGGGTGCGCGTGTTTGTGTGCGGCCGATGTTTGCCTGTGTTTGCGTGGAAACGGGCACCGCCAACGAAACGGAACCGAAAATCGCATCGAGAGAGCAAGAGCAGCGCACCCAAACTATGCCACAGTGGTCCGAAAGTCCTTGATAATCCTGCGAAGCTTTGCTAATGTTTGAAGATGTAAAACAACAGTTTTTGATCGGTTTTTGAAATTTTTTTTGTTTTAATTTTTAGTTGTATAACAACGAACAATTTTTGATGAGTAATCACACTTGGAAAACTTTAAAACCTTTTATAATTTCAGTTTTCGACAGCTTAAACATGTTGGGAATTACAGCGATCCAGAGTAGGTTAGGTAAGTATGAAACTTTAGCATTTTCTTTTGTTTCAAAAAATAAGAAGTATTTTTAGTCAGTGATCATATTTTGAAAATTATTAAAGCTCTCAAATGCCAGTTTTTTTGTTTATGAATATAATCACTTTAAGACTATCATAAAGGAAGCTTAAACAAGTTGAGAATTACAGAGAGCTAGAGGCAGATAACTTTGAAAAGCTAATTTAATCTAAGATAATACTTTACCATCAGCGACAAGCAAATCATTATCAAGAACTTTAAAATTAATGTATTTCTTCTTTAGTAATGTTTTATCTTTAGTTAACCGTTTTTAAAAAATGTCTAATATTTCTTTTATTTTTTAACGAAGATTATTTTAAAAAATTAAAGTGAAGTTATATTTTATTATTTTCTACTAATTCATGGCTTGAAATGGGTTTAAATATTTTTTCAATGAGCCCCACGATTTGGGACCACTGTGCAACGTCGACGCTGCGTGCATTTGGAGAAATGTGGGGGCTGCACACCAATACACCTTCGCACTCGCACATGCAGCACACACTCGCGATGACATAGTAGTACATAGTACTAGTACATAGGCAGCCTCACACACATTGGCTGGCTCTGCGGCGTTGTTGCTTCCGTTGTCGTTGTTGTTGTTCCGTTGCTCGCTGCACTTGTGTGTAGTTGTGTTGAAAAAAGTCGCCTTGCAACTTGTCCAAGTTCGAGTTGCAGTTCGAACGCGTTGCATCGACTTTTGCTTAATTGCTTTTTGCATTTCTGCTCGCCCGCTTTGTGCTGCGAATTTTATTGCATTTGTTTTGGTTATTTCTTCGTTCTAAAGGGCGTATGAGTGATGTGCATATTTGTAGATAGCACTCGGGTATTATGGTCTCTCGGTGGCTTGTGCACCGTCCTAACAAAGGGGTTTCAAACATGACTATACAGTCGATAGCAACAACGTGGAAACATTTCAAGTGGGCTATTGGAACTGGGTTTTCGTTAAAGATATGGCCATGAAATCTGGTATATAGACTTCATATCTAACTAGGTTGAATATAACACTACAAGACTGAAATTGGTTGCACTTCGAGGCTTATTTTAATTTAACTACGAAATACAGGATTTAAGAGAAAAACGGGGTCATACTTAACGACGTAAGCTGTTCTTCCTGTAAGCTCTTGAAACGTCTGTATAAAATGATAAATGACTCTTCATTAAAAAGATATTAATATTCTGGACAAAATTTATGCATAAGAAAATGGTAATTTTAAAACCTGTATAACCCCAACGGAACTTAATAAGAGCTTAATACCAATCATATTAATTATTCTATACAGATCCTGTTATTATGTAAAAAAAATTAATGTTTTCTTAATTATTAAAGGGGTTTCTTGAAGTTTTAGTTTATACATTTTAATACATTTTCCCTTGCTAGAATATATTAATTTTTCTGTAACTTGTTGAAAGGTGTTCATTAATAACTCGAAATTCACATTATAAGTTGAATATATATTTTCATAAACTTTCGATAGGGAATAAAAGATTCATTCTGCATGTTTTATTCCATTTTCTCTACATGGGCTGGCGTGTTTAATTCGTGTTTAATCTAATTTGCACTTAGTTCGACATTAGAGTGGCTCATTGAACTTGCCAATACATATTCACACTTAAAATGTTTGACGATTGATTAGAGCCGAGTGAAAGAGAGATAAGGGGAGAGAAAAAGTGAGCAAAAAAAAAGCCTTCAGTCACTAAACATTTCAACCTTATTAGCTAGGTGATATGAAGTGTTTGTCTGTCTCAATTTCAGTTGCCCTTAATTACTTAATTTCGGAGTCTAAAGCGCTAATACCCTGTATTTAAAAGGAGGGTAAATTGGGCATGAAAGATGTGCTGATAACGGGTCTCACATTTCGTGCTAGCACCATATACCCGCCCCCTTTCTTCCTCCCAGTGGCCACGTCAAAATGTTGTTACTTCGCCTCTGTGTTTAAAAAATGCACACGATCGCTTATCTTGCATGTCGCCTCTAATTTGTATTTGCGGAGAGACCCGGAGAGAAAGAATCGCTTCGCAGAGCCACTCGAAGAGAAAGACCCGGGGCCTATCGGTAGAACGGCGATTCAATATTTGCTAATTATGTGACGGGCGACTTGGGGGGAAAATGCAAAATGTCAAGGGAATCGACTTTTTAGTCGCGAAAGGAGAAGCGGATTAAATTGATTGCAGGTGAGCATAAAAGACGCGCAGCTTGTGCATTTAATTTGTCTAAAGCGGAAGAGATCCCGATAAGAGCCCACTTCAGGTTATTAATGGGCCAAGGGAAACTTGGTGTTATAAATGGCAAGCCCGCCTTAAGTCGTTTATATGATAATTGCAAGTGCGGTGCAGCTTAAAAAAAATATATTGAGAATGTACAGATCATTATGACTTTGCACTCAGAAAAATATATTTCAAATTATTACAAAATTCTGACTGGGATATAGCATTGATAAATGTTTTGATTTAATTATCATTCGTTTCATTCCATTAAGTTATCAAACAAGAGTGAGAACGCTAAAGTCGACGGTCTCAGATACCCGTTTCTCAGCTAAAGAGAGTGCGGGGGAATGTAGATATGCAAGCAGCAAAGCAACTGTTACCAAAACTGCACACCCCGCAACAACGCCACCTAGCGTCGATTCCTTTATTTGCTTATAATGATGGATGGTCCGATCTAAGCATTTGACAGTCGAAAACAAATCCGCTACAAAATCTTTAAAGACTTGGGCGCTAGACAGGTTTAAGCGTTGTGACCGTTAACATAAACTTGCGCTGCGAAAGAACCTCAAGAATTTGCATTCCAAATCCCAACTTTTTAGCTTTTATAGATTTTGAGATCTCAGCGTTCAGACAGAAAGACAGACAGACATGGCTAGGTGGACTCGGCTAATGATCCTGGTCACGAATATATACTTTACTTTATAGAGTACGAAACGCTTTCTCCCTTTTATTCTACTACTAAGAGGTATAATTAAAAATCGTTTTCAGGCTATAGACCCTTTCTTTTATAGGTGCAGTTAGACGAAAGCCAAGCAAGTGTTATATGGCCGTTTTCGCTCAGTTTCATTCATAAGAAATTAATCATGATCATTGCCATGTGCAAATTTCCTTTAATTTATACAATGTTCTTCATGTCAGTCTTCATTTAAAATTATAATAAAAAGTGAGCTTAATAACATAGTATGGGCTATCTCATGTATAGTTTCTCTTCCGCATAACTCATTTCCAAGCGAAATTAAGACTTGATTATATTTTCATGAGTGTAGAACCTCCCGGATAATCGATGGTAAGCTTTTCTAGTGTCAAAAACCGGCTTGTGCTGAACTTTCAATTGAATGCGAATATCCAAGCCTTTGCTGCGTAGTCTTGGACAAGTCGATTTCCGCATTTCGCATTTGCATATCCCTCATAACCATTCAGACTTTGGTCCAATTTGCCTTATAAGCACCCATCACAGGTCTCCGATCACCTATCACCGCCCCCGCAATCCCAATTGGAATTGAAATGGCAATCGCCTGGACCATCCTAATGGTGTCTTAGAAACCCGTGGCGCTACGCGGGAGTCTCCCGAGTGCGGCTGTAAAACACGACCTGTTGCTCGTTTCCTGTTCAATTTGGTAGTCAGACAATGGCCCGGTCCCCTTCCCCTGCTCCTGCCCCTGCTATCCAGCGCCCCGCTGCCCCGGAGACTTCATACCGCGGTTGTAGATGGCAATCGGGGAGCGTACCTGCCGCTATCGCCATTAAGGCTTGTACACACGAGCATTTATGTCAGGCAATTACAAGGCAGTTTGCAACGCCCCCGAAGCAGGAACAAAAGGGTGGCAAAACGGGCAGGGGCAGGGGTAGGACATTTGGTAGCAGACGCCGAGCGGTCATAACTATAACTCATTGTTCACTTACCGGGGACAATGACAATTGCATGCACTCGCCAAAGTATCTGCGGGTCCACTACTAGGCGTAGTATCTGTATCTGCATCTGCAATCTGCTCCCATGCGGTGTGTTTTGCTCTTGGTTATGCAAGCACTGTGAGAGAAAATAGCACTCGAAGCGAGAGATCGGTTGGGATCGGATAGAATCGCGCAAGACCGAGAACGAGAGTGAGAGTGTGGAGCCGGTGGAATTTTGTTTTTTTTTTCTCACATTTGTATCTTTTATTTGTTTTCTTAAGCCGTACAAACTGTGGCCACAAACGGCATTGCTTAGCATGGCACTCGCGATTCGACTTCGTTCCCTGTAGGTCCGCGCATTCTAGAGATATTTTCGGACTTTGCACTGTAACTAAAAAAACTATCGCACAGAATTTCGGACCTGATTCCGCTCCAGTTCTGTTCTGTTGAGGTTTAGATTGCGATTTCGAGCACGGAACGCAGCTGAGCAGCGCGCACACGAGCGC